AAGTAGTAAAGTATAAATGAATATAGCAGCCTGCCTTTAGTTACCTATTTTGAACTTTATGAACCAAGTATCAAAAAACTATAATTGAAAACTTTGATAATATTATAAAGTTTATACTTTTACAAAGTTTACATGGTTTTTATAATTATTCATCTTTTTTTTTTTGATTGCGTTGTTTTATTTGTTGTTGTTTTTTTTTTTAATTTTTTGTTACAACCATCTCAGTTACGACCGTCACAACATAAAAAACATTAAAATACTTATAAAATATTGAGTAAAAACTATGAAACTCAGCATATAATATCATTAATATGTGCTAAATACGCACTCCATGTGATTACTTTTTTTATCGTGCCGTTGGTTGCAATTAGTCTGACAAAGTTGTTTTGTTCAGAAGTGATAAAAAGTTTACGTTACAATCGTCACACAACGCAGAGTTAATTTTTGAAAAAAGTTTAAGACTTTAATAATGTAACTTTTGCATACTAAATTATGTAATAGTATTCCACATTTCTTGGAAGTTTTAAGTCATTTCCATTTTTGGTTCATTTTTAATAGCTTAAAGAACTGTCACGACCGCCACTCTTGCGGACAAATAAAATAGTAACATATATATATGTTACTATTTTATTTTTTATTATTAAATAAAAATTAAGTAAATTTTTTGCTATAAAAAAAATTATTGCTATGAAAAGCTTCTAAATAAATATTCTTGGGATTGCAAGATGATAAATAAAAGTATGTAATAAAGCTTAAATAAATAAACATACATAAAATAGTTTAAAGCAAATGTAAATTGTTCACTGTATAACACTTTAAAACAAGCCTGAACTATGTAAACATATCAACATCATATTTAGGCTATATAAATGTCATTTTTATGTATATAATTACTAATAATTTAGGAAAAATAGCAATTTATTAATCTTCATAATAAATATTTAAAAATTGTTAGACGGAGCTAAAATTAAGTTTTAACGATAGTGCCTTAAGCTTTGCAACTAGAACACGCTGCATTTACAATGTGATTTAGGATCTAGTCTTAAAGAAAGTTTAGCTCATTATAAAAACACCCAAAATATGACAACAGTATTCCATACAAGTACAAATAAGAGATTTATAAAGGTAGAGAATTCAGTATTAAGAATATGAAGTGACAACTTAAGTTAATGCTCAACTTTGCAATAGATTTTTTTTTATATGTGCGGCTAGCAGTGAATCCAAAAAGATGTAAAGTAAAGGACTAAGTAAGAGTGTTTTCATTCCTCAAATAAAAAATATTAACAATATTGCAATAATTATTAGCTATATACAAATAAATTTGGGGTTTTTTTGTAATTTTGTAATTCTCTCTGTCTTGAGATGTCACAGAGAGAGATTGTATTTAAGTTCAGATGCCTGTTCTAAGCAACTTAAAAGTGATGATAATTCAAGATAATATAGTTTTTTTAAAGATATTTCAAGATTATATAGTATATATTTTAGCCATCAGCAAATAGCGCTGTTTTATAGGTAAAGAAATCAGTAAGGTTATAATATAGATAAGAAAACAATACCGGACGAAAGATGGAATCTTGTTTCAAGATGTTTCAAGGTGGACATCCTGCTCCTCGTTTTTTATCTGAAAAGTTTCATAAAGTGGGTGCCACTTGTAACTTTTAATAACTTGTGAGTACCACTTGTCTAACTTTTAAAATACTAGAGATAATTTTGTTATGTAAAAAGATTAAAAACATTGATAAAATTTCTCAGCTTTTAACATTTAACAAAATTCAATTCTATGAAATTTCTATTTAATTTCTATTTTCATTAAACATTTAATAAAAATTCTTCTTTTTTTTTCAAGATTTAACAGCAATAAACTGCAATACTTTTGTAACTGTAGAGGTAGGTTATAATCTACTTATTCTAAAGCCAATAATTAGCATCTGAAACTTAAGAAAAAAAAAGACATCACAAAGAAGTACATCAAATCAAAAATTTAAAAAAATGAGCAATCTTATGTTAGCATGCAATAATAATATTATCACTTAAATTCATTTATTAAACTTTTTTTTTTCTTTCCTATATAATAATTCTTTTTTTTAAAATTATTTATATTGAAATTAAATTTGATGACCGTAAATTAGACAAAGGCCTTTTCTATAAAAGGAGTTTTAACCATGCTCAGAACACACAACATGCTTTCTCACTTTAGCTACTTGAAGTTTCCTATCAGCTTTGCTTTACAATTTAAAGCATTTTATGAGACAGAGCTTTAGCTCCTGTTTTCTAACTGGAGCAACAGTCTTAATTTTTTATTTACGCAGTTATGCAAACACTCTTGCTCCTCTTCACTCAACACTAACTTCAATTAGTAAAGTTAGTGTTACTAGTCAATGTGGTGAGTTTTAAAGTTGTCAATAATAACAATACTGACAGAGCGATGATGAGAAAAAGAGCAGTCAATTTGATTAAAAACAACATTGAAATGAGTGCAGTCATGTAACAAGGGAGAGTG